ACTATGACATTAAGATGATGTAAACATATGGTGGAACCCAACAAGTTCACTATGACATTTAGGTTTCAAATATTTGTTAACCATTAATTAAACTACCATACACCCCCTAGAGAACACTTCAATAGATCCCGTTTAATTAGTGATTGCGAGAACATGATTTATATTTAGGTTTTTGAATTGATAGTGATATACCTGTATAGTTCACTACTTGCCTTGTAAAAACAAATACTATAGGAGTTTTGTATCAATTATGCATATTTCATCTCTAACCTTGGCATTTTTCATATTGATTCTTTCTTGATATATGTGATGGAGTTGATTTTTTTACTTGTACTAAGGGACATCCAAGAATCTTTTTAGTGCACACATAGTCATCTTTGATGAAGCTCTATATCATAATCTATCAAGAGAATTGTAGAAACTTTTAGTTTCTTCATTAATATGCGTCATGCTAGAAATGCTTCTAGTATGCTGGATAGTTCTGATTCAGATTGCACCACGGAGATACAAAAATATGACAGTTGTTAATTTAGTAAGTAATTATCCATGCATGCATAAATAGCCATAGACCCATCCAAGAATCTTCATTAGAGATGCCTAGTCATCTTTGATGAAGCTTTTCTTGGATTATCCAGTTCAGGAGCACAAGTCTATGTTGTAATTAGTAGTTCTATTGCTTAAATGTAGTCCATCTCGTATAGATTTTGGGTAGTAGTTCCTCATGTTCTCCGGGTGCATACTAGACAAGGTGTAGCAGTACACCCAGTCTATGTCGTGTACTTGGAGAACCATGGGGAGATGCTGCTGACATTTTCTTAGAGATGGATAGAGCGGTATGAGCTACTTTTTACAATATAGACTGTGCATTCCTGAATGGGAAAGTATGATGAACCAGTCTAACCAGCCTATTAGAGAAGAGTTAGAGTTGAACAATGTCATGTCGCAAGCATTATAAGGTACTTAATTGAGGTTAAGAAAAATTAAAATGAAATGATAATTTTGAACTTTGTTGATTTGGCAGTGACATTTGTAGTGTAAGACGAAATTAGATGGATAAAAGTTGGATAAATCAGCATAGGTTGCATCTAGTATATATATAAGGGGTTAAGGAATTTCTTAAACTTGCATACCAAAATAATTCTCTATCAAATGAAGTCACATGGCCATGCAAACGGTGTCGGAATGTCAAACTAGTAAAGAAAGACCTTTTAGGGGAACATTTAATGGTCAATGGGTTTCTTCCAAGCTACACCAGATGGATTTTTCATGGGGAAGATTTACTAGTGTCTGTGCCATTGAATGAGAATATTAGTGATTCGAATGATGGTGATGAAGTCAATGAAACAATATATGAGGGGTTTGGATCTCAAGTTCATTATTCCTCCTCACGCGTGAGACGTGTTTAGATTTCAAGTTCACTATTCCTCCTCTCGCGTAAGACGAGTTTGGATCTCAAGTTCACTTTTCTCCTCACACGTCATACACGTTTGGATCTCAAGTTCACTTTCCTCCTCTCGCGTGAGACGTATTAGGATCTCAAGTTCACTATTCCTCTTCTCGTGTGAGACGCGTTTGGATCTCAAGTTCACTTTCCTCCTCTCACGTGAGACGTGTTTGGATCTCAAGTTCACTATTCCTCCTTCCCTGTGAGACGTATTTGAATCTCAAGTTCACTTTCCTTCTCTCGCGTGAGACGCGTTTGGATATCAAGTTCACAATTCCTCTCTTGCGTAAGACGCGTTTGGATCTCAAGTTCACCGTTCTCTTCTCGCAGGACATGCGTTTGGATCTCATGTTCACTTTCCTCCTCTCGCGTGAGACGCGTTTGGATCTTAAGTTCACTATTCCTCTTCTAATGTGAGATGCGTTCGGATCTCAAGTTCACTCTTCTCCTCTCGCGTGATACGTTTTTTTATCTCAAGTTCACTATTCCTCCCCACGAGTGAGACGTGTTTGGATCTCAAGTTCACTTTTCTCATCTCGCATGAGATTCTTTTGGATGTCAAGTTCACTATCCTTCTCTCGCGTGAGACGCATTCGGATCTCAAGTTCACAATTCCTCCTCTCGTGTGAGACGCGTTTGGATCTCAAGTTCACCTTTCTCCTCTCACGTGACACACGTTTGGATCTCATGTTCACTTTCCTCCTCTCGCATGACACGCGTTGGGATCTCAAGTTCCCCCTCCTCCTCTCGCGTGAGACTCGTTTGGATCTCAAGTTCACTTTCCTCCTCTCACGTGAGACGCTTTAGGATCTCAAGTTCACTATTCCTCCTCTCGCATGAGACGCGTTTGGATCTCAAGTTCATTTTCTTCCTCCCATGTGAGACGTGTTTGGATCTCAAGTTCACTATTCCTTCTCCCCCGTGAGACGCGTTTGGATCTCAAGTTCACTTTCCTTCTTTTGCGTGAGACGCGTTTAGATCTCAAGGTCACAATTCTTCCTCTCGCGTGAGACGAGTTTGGATCTCAAGTTCACCTTTCTCCTCTCGCGTGACATGTGTTTGGATCTCATGTTCACTTTCCTCCTCTCGTATGAGACGCGTTTAGATGTCAAGTTCACTTTTCTGCTCTCGCGTGATACGCGTTTGGATCTCAAGTTCACTATTCCTCACTTGCGTGTTTGGATCTCAAGTTCACTCTTCTGCTCTAGCGTGATACGTGTTTTTATCTCAAGTTCACTATTCCTCCTAACGAGTGAGACGCGTTTGGATCTCAAGTTCACTTTTCTCTTGTGGCATGAGACGCGTTTGGATCTCAAGTTCACTTTTGTCTTGTGGCATGAGACGTGTTTGGATCTCAAGTTCACTTTTTCCCGTCGCATGAGACGCGGTTGGATCTCAAGTTCACTATTCCTCTGCTTGCGTGAGACGTGTTTACATCCCAAGTTCACTATTCCTCCTCGCGTGTGAGACAACTTTGTATCTCAAGTTCACTTTCATCCACTCGCGTGAGACGTGTTTGGATCTCAAGTTCATTACTCCTCCTCTTGCGTGAGACGCTTTTGGATCTTAAGTTCACTATTCCTCCTATCGCATGAAACGCGTTTGGATCTCAAGTTCACTTATCTCCTCTCGCGTGAGACGCGTTTGGATCTCATGTTCACTATTCCTCCTCTCGTACGAGTCACGTTTGGATCTCATGTTCACTTTGCTCCTCTCGCTTCAGACGCGTTTAGATCTCAAGTTCACTTTCCTCCTCTCGCGTGAGACGCATTTGGATCTTCAGTTCACTTTTCTTCTCTTGCGTGAGACGCATTTGGATCTGAAGTTTATTTTCCTTCTCTCGCGTGAGACATGTTTGGATCTCAAGTTCACTTCCCTAGTCTCGCGTGAGACGCGTTTGGATCTCAAGTTCACTTTCCTTC